CACACAACAGTTAGACATAGAACAACACAAAACAATACCACACAGATCTGCAAACGCTCAGTTCCCTTCACATTAGGTTCCTGTCCGTCCAGCATAAGTCAAAATGCAGCATTTCACACGCACACACTTGCTTGAACAGTAACTGGCTGACTCATATGGGTGACCACAATGACAAATGATGAATGAACAGGTCTTTTGAGCTTGTTTCATAACACAGTCTTGCGGTCTATGAATCTGCCCCGTGGGCCGTGAGGATTGTTTAACGGAAGCACCTTTTTATAATAAGGCACGGTAATGACATAACACAACATTAGAAACCGGTTAATATTTAGTTTTCTGATTTAGATACTGATTCATACATTTAGTAACACTTTATTTTACAGTGTCATTGTTAACTTGTAGCAGTTGCAACTAACCCTAAACCAAACCCTAATCCTCCTAACACTTTAGTAAATACGTATGCTCTTGATTAATATTGCTCAGGACATAAATGTATAATTAATTACTCTGTAACAAAGACATTTATGATAATTCAAGTTTCCAAGCACAAAATTACAGATTTTTTATTTTTATTATTTTCAAACATAGTCAATTTAGCCTCATTCAACAGCTTTGTGAAAGGGAAACCAGCACAAATAAATAATATTTATATTATTCAGAATAGGTTTTTAATTCATTTTCATTTTATTAATCCCCTATATGCAATGTAAATAATCCGCACCATCAAGTGTTTTAATTTGTCATCGGCAGGGTCAAGCTTGGCGAAACTAAACTATTAGCTATTTATTACATTATAATGATATTATTTTAGTATGAAAATATTGTGGCATTGTGAATGTGCTATATTTTTGATATCTGTATGTGTGTAGCTGTAAGGCTACTAATGCAAGCGTCAGTAGGGCTCAGACATTGATCTGCTGTGACAGCCCCTCGCTTTAGTGCCGCGCGGCAATGTGGCTGACCAACCGTATACTGACAAGAAATCTCAGTTTCACCCTATGCTCCTATTTATAGCCTTAACCATAGCAGAGCCAACTTTATGTTTACTAACATCTGTGACAGTCTTCATTATACTGCAACACCCACATCCATATCTCTAAATAATGGGATATCGTAACATTCTTCAGCTGACATGACCCGGGTCAATCTGTCGCTCCGATCAAAGAGCATGGCTTATTTCATTTATGTGTATGACTCGGTTGTAAATACTAACAGCAATCTTGCTATAGTCATAGAAATCATATAGAGAAGCTCTCATCATTCTTAAGCAGCTACTAGTTGTTGCTGAACTATCTCTGATGTCAGTGTTTGATCATTTATCCTTTGGTTCTGACCAGACAGCACCCTTCCAAAATCAGTCCTGTTCCACTCTACAATCGTTCTCTAACTCATTACCCAAGACCATCAGCAAAAACAATGCTCCTCATTCACAGTTGTGCTCCAGAGGCTTGAATACTGCAGTCAGTGAAGTCAACCAGCACTTCAGACAGAAGCAAAGATCCTAAAGAGAGCTTCAAAACACAAAATACCAAAAGAAACCCCAACACCTCCAAAATAAACTATACACTTTCTATAGCACTAAAAATCAATATTTAGTGCTTTTCTCGTGTACCAATGACCTTAAAAAACAAACAAGGTACAACCAAGATTTCACTATTGTTTATAATCTCATCAATAATACTGCAGGGGGAAAAAACAATGTGATCTGTGCTCATAGCTTGCTTTCTTCTTCTCATACATGGTAGTTTAACTGTGGCAGGTCAGAAATCCAGAGTGTCAGGCGACACACATCATGTTTCCAAATCCATTCTGCTGCAGCAATCACAAATGCAATAATTTTCTTTTTTGTGTCTAGTCTAGCGGAGCCATTTAGTATGGATCAGATGTGCTCAGCACATATACCACAGAATAATCTGCAGAGCGAAGCACAAGAGAGCAGCGCAGAGTGTGTGGTGAGATTCTGCTCATCTCTCTGCAGTGTGTTCATCCACACATGAATCCACAGCAGAAAACACAACAAATTAATTCTGCATGCCTCAAGTCATCATATAAGCAAATGGGTAGATGTTAGGTTAAAGCTGTGAATGTAGTGAAGGATGCATTCTACATGGCCCTGCAGTAAAACAAATGCAAGTCTCTTAATTAAAATGAGGCCATAAAAGCTGCATAATAATAATAACGAACAAATGGCTGTTTAAAATAGTTTTAGATGTAATAGAACATGTTACATACAGTGTAGGACACGGAAAACATCCCAAATAAAGATTTACTAAAGGCGTCAAAAAAAAAAAAAAAAAAAAAAAAACACTAAATGAGAACGTTTTGTTGACCTGCATTTATCGTTAACTGTAAACAAACAAGGTACAGCCGAGATTTCACTATTATTTAATTATCATATGAACAATACTATGGGAAACTATCGACATTGGGATCGGAGCTCATAGCTTGATTTCTGCCCATGCCCTACACATGGTAGTTTCTTTGTAACAGGTCAGTAATCCTGACTGAGTGTCTTCTGCCAGACAACAACCGCTCATGCCAGCAGTTCTTCGAACTTTTAAAGTGCTTGGGTTCGGTGTCAAACGTTTACTCTCTTTTTCATCGTCTGGTCTGGTGTAGCTAACGTTAGTCAACACTAGACTCCTGCTCTGAACAGATAAGGTCGGACTCCCCAGCGTTTCTAGGGAAACGCAACATCTGGACACGTAACCGTGTTTACTCAGTCAGCGTGTGACTTAAATAATACGCAACAGATTTCCTCTCAAGTGATGGCGTCAAAGCAAAAATGCTGCACATATTGGTTCGTTCGTTGTGATCAGTCGACAATCTGCTAAGCTAACTAACGTTAGCTGTAAACCTGTTTCATCTTGACTTAACAACAGGACGGAAATTCTTACAAGTGTTGCCCTGCCGTACGGCTAAAGGCTTATGCGGATCAGAGGAAACGATTAGCAAAACCCTGCAGGTTTTATTAAATCAAATAAGAAGAAATTAATTTACCTAATTTTCAGCGCTCCCTACTGAAGTCTTCACAACTCTGTCAATCTTGCGAATTTCATTCGGGACTTCCGGTTTGCGATCGTTGTAATTCAGTTGTAAAGGGCCCGGATGCAGCAAGAGAAGAACGGATGGCCACGCCTCCTATAATATGTTGTTATTATAAGAATTGGTTGAACAACATCCACTTATAAGGAAATGATCAAGAGCTGCATTAAAATCTACATGATATAATGCATTTGTGTGTTCTTCTGAGCAGCCCAAGAGCTATTAGAAATGTCAGAAGTTTCCTCCATGTAACACCCGGCCCTTTATTGATTCAGGGACCACTGACTGAATCTCTGGGCAACACCATCATTTTGAGCAACGATTATACTAAGCTAGATAAAATGGGGCAATAGCTAAAATAATAAATAAGAATCCGACTGGTTAACATATTACAAACCCCCAAACCAGAAATTTGATAATAATAAAATGCAAGCTGTTTCTTGCGATTACCCTGAAACTGCTTACGTTTTATTTATTGCATGTCATTTTGGTATGAAATACAGGAATTTAGTAATGAGAACACTCAGTGATCATGAGTGAAAATGCACAGCCTCACAAATTATCTTGGAAGATAAAAAAAAAACAATGTTATTAATTTAATCTTAGTAATAATTTTATCATCATTATCATTATTGATGGCAAATCATGGCACGAGCTCTAACTTAGTTCAAAATGCAGCTGCTCGCCCAACTGGAACTCGAAAGTTTAGCCATATCTCACCCATTCTCCAATCTCTCCACTGGCTCCCTGAGCACCTTCGTATTGATTTTAAAATTCTTTTATTTGTTTTTAAATGTCCTCATGGCCTGGCCTGGCTAGTAGTGGCTCCTCAGTACCTGTCTGATTTGCTTGTGCCAGCTACACCCCCATTCGTTCGCTCCGGTCAACTAATCAGGCACTGCTGGTCGTCCCCAAGACGAAGTTATAACGTAAACGGTGACCGTGCGTTTGCTGTGGCAGCTCCACGACTATGGAATGAGCTGTCTTTGGACATCAGATTGGCTGAGTCTCTTCCTGTTTTTAAATCTCATTTTAAAACTTATTTATTTTCTTTGGCTTTTAATACTGTTTGAGGGTTGACTTTTCAGTTTTGTATTACAGTTTACTGTTATTGTTTTATTATTTCTTTGTTGTGGCTCTGTTGGATGTTATTGTTTATAGATTGTGTTCAGCACTTTGGTCAACAGTGTTGTTTTTCAGGTGCTTTAGAAATAAAGATTGATTGATTGATTGATTGATTGATTATTGCAGTGATTCTAATGTTTCTAGCATGTCACCTGTTTATATTTTTGGCAACTCTAATTGATGGAGTGTCTAGCTTTTCATTTCTTTAAAAAACATGTAGAAAGACACATCATGGCCATATTCCAGGATGACAAAGCCAAGATTCACTAGGTTCAAATTGTAAAAGAAAAGTGGGGAGGGAGCTTGAAGTCCAGACCTTGAATTCATTGAAAGTCTTTGGGATGTGCTGAAGTAGACTTTACAGAGAGCTTGATTCAATACAAGATCTTGACCAAAAATATATTTTGGTTGCCAAACATATAACCTGCATAATAATCATAGCAATATAATGATCCAGTTATATACCCTTAAGTATTTGCCTAAATCCAAACAGTGAACTTTTTTGACCAGGCAGTGAAGTAACATTTATGTTTTGTTTTTTTTTAATTGCTAGCATTTTTCATCTATTAAAGCATCTCAATGAAACACAGTGGCAACTGAAATGCCGACTTTTGACAACTTCAACTTTCAAAAAGAGCATCTTTTATGTGTTGTAATTACACCCTCATAATTGTGATCAGTCACATGTCACCATTCCTTTATTTAAGTGACAAGAACCTGATATTTAATTGAACTGATCTCAAAACCAGAATTGCATCTGTTTCATAAAGAAGAGGACAGCCCATTTTCATTGTCAATACACAGAAAGAAACTGCATGCTCACGCACTGGTATCAACATACAAAGAATTCAGATTTATTCATCAATTTGAAGGTTTAATCACATTTGACCAAGGTGTTAATTTCTTGTGTGGCAAAGGTCTCGTTCCAAGTTGGAAGATCACTCATCATCTGCAGAGCCTGTTTTGTCAATGACCTTTTTCATCCAGCGACGCATACGGAATAAGTGTGTGTAGAATCCATATTTGCCATCACGATCACAGCCCTCACCCCACGACACAATGCCAATCTGATACCACCGTTTATCTGTAGGACTCTGTGGGCAGGAATTGGTTTTAAAAGGACAAGATGTAAAGTTTAGTTGTGTGAGACCTTGTTTGAGGAGAGAAGAATATATAATGTTACTATACCTTCATCACAAAAGGCCCTCCACTGTCTCCCTCACAAGCATCACCTCTTTTTGTATCATCTGGCAGGTAACCTATAAAACAAAAGATGAATTTGCCATGACACCTGAGCACAAAAGCATCTCACGAATTCTCAGAACCTGAGCTGTCTAAAGAAGACCACGAAGAATATGATGAGCATTACCAGCACAGAACATGTTGTCAGTGATGATGACCGAGGTGGAATTGCGACAGACGCTCTGTTCCACAATGGGCAAGTGAATCTGTTGCAGCACTGTAGGAAGATTTTTTGGGTTTGATGTCCATGATTCCCTGAGGTTCCCCCAGCCAGTTACACGGCCCTTGAATCCTGCAAACATTAAACTTCAGAGAGAAAAATCTGTCAATTACAGCTATGAATACATTTTAAATATATACTAAAATGCATTTTCTAACATTGTTGTTCCCCAAGAAAATATGCTGTTAGTGAGTAAAGGTGAACAAATGCATAAAAAGGACCCCTTTCAAGAGGTTAGCATCTTTATCTTGTAAATGCATATTATTGGTCTTATTGTGGATGATTCCTCAGACTTCTCTAATCATGTAACTTTGCCTCCATCCCATCAACAACCAATGAGTAGTATATATATTACATTACAACTATTGCTTATACTTACTTCTTTGCGATACTCTTGGTGGGCAGACAGATAGGGTGGATCTCATTTGTAAAGACTACAGGCTTCTTCATGTGCAGAAGAGCAATGTCTCGGTTCAGGTTTTCCTTCCAGTTATATTTAGGGTGGACAATGATTTCATCAATGGCCACAATCTTTTCAATGCCCCTCTCATACCTGACTCGGCGAGAAACAGGAAAGAGTTTAAAACGGCTTAATTTCCTGTAGACTGAGGTTTCTAAATTACTTGCTTTATATTTCACCACTTTTCGTTGTTTTTTTGCTAATCGTTTTTACATTAACAAGTAGACATTTACAATTTATGTACTGCTGCAGTCAACTGGGAAAAAAGGAGGGCTCACTTGGTACGAGAGTGTTTTCCAAGGCGGACGATGATATCATTGATGGTGAAGTTCTTGTTCCACGGTGGGTAGAGAATGCAGTGGGCTGCAGTGAGAATCCATTCATCGCTGATCAGACTGGCTCCACACAGCAGCTCCTGAGGACTACGCTTATATAACATTACCTGCCTGCAAATGACATCAAACACAGTATACAACATGCAGCATTAGATGTCAACATAAGTGATGACGGCAAGATATCTGAAAGTTTAAAAGAGCGTATGTGGTATGTATTCACCATGGAGCACTGGCCATTTCAGCCTCATCTCCTCCCACTATTCTGCTTCCAGTGTATGACATCAGTAGCTCCTTCTCATTCTTATCTTCTTTGTTGATCTTCTCAAACAAGGGGCGCTCTCCACACTCTGACAAAAGGCAGTTTGATATTAATTATCAGTTGATTATACAAGATATCAAACCACCGCAAAACAGACGGTGAAGTATCAGACCTTGTTCTCCATTGCCAAAGCTGCGGGGGCTGAAAAAAGCCTTTCTCTTTCCATCAAGAGTTGATCTCTCTCGACCACCTGCTTCCTCTACAAACTTGTCCAGAGGGGCATCTGCCAGTGAATGAGAAAGAGAGAGCGATGTTCAAGGGTGGGCTTAGAGGCGTGATGACTTATGTATAATGCACTTATAGACTTCCTTAACATTGAAAAAGTTTTTGCTTCATTAAAATGATTAAAAGCCTCTGGTCCAGATGTTACTTTCAATCAAGGTCTAAAGTTCAAGGGAACAAATTCTAGTTGTTATCCTGTAAGTGTTTGAAGAAGGTAGTTCTGCTCACTCACCACACATCTCTAAGTCACAGTAATCAATGGTAATGTTTCCGCCTGCTTCCTTTACGTAGCACCAGGGACCCTCCATATCTCCATCTGGGTTTCTGCAGTGGTTCTTTACCAGTTGAACTTGAGGCAGAAACTCTTTTCCTTTAATCAAGGCTTGCACTTCTGGTGCACTCCATTGCATGCAGGTGCGTCCCCCCATAGACACAGACAAATCCCCTGTGTAGGCCTCCCCATTTCCAGCCAGGCATTTACTCTTCACATAACGCTCTTCAGATTTCACAATAGGAGGTGGCGGAGGGAGAACAAGAGTCTCGCCTAAGGAGGAGAGAGTGAGATGATCAGTCTGGTGGACTAGCATAACTTTTTTTTATTCATGCTCAAGCATAAAATGTTTAATAAACAGGGCACAAATAGGTGCGATCAGATATGGTAATATGTGTTTTAGTAAATCAGTGGTCATTTAGCAGATCCAAAGCAACTTCAAGTACACTTATTATTATAACGTTATATTATCCTGAGCAACCTGGTTCAATGACACAGCAGTGATGGCTCAACATTCTGGTTGATAGTGCAAAGCGTTAGTTATTACACCATAGGACATTTTGCCGTAAGATTTTAGTGATTTTCTCTACCGCATTTTGGCAAGCTGCAGGACTCCCTTCTGACCGTTGGGTCTCTTGTAAAACACCAAGGGCCTTCACTGCTCTTATCTGGGTTTCTGCAATAGTTCTCCGGTAGCTTCAGCTGTGTCACATTAAATTCGCTAAAAATGGGAAACAAGTTGGTCATAAGACAAAAGAGCTGCTGCAACATCACTAGAGCCATGTAAAGCTCAATACATTAAAAAAACAGCCTCTTCATTATCGAAATAATTTGTGTTTTTTAAACAATCAACATAAAATGGTTTTGCCAATCCTGAGAGACGACAGTTGCTGTCAACAAAGAGTGCAGAAGTACATACTGAATCCTGTGGGGGAAGTTGCTTTTCCAGTACTGGCATGACCTTCCAGACTTGGTGACAGATACTCTACCAGCGTAGTTTTCACCAAAATGAATGAAACAGTCTCCTGTCAACAGGGAAATTATAGTTAAAACGAACACCAAAACTAAAAACATACAAACATTTTCTTACTAAAATTAGCATTAACTGAAAATAATAAAGTAAACATTTTATTTCAGCTACTTGCCAATGAAACACTTCTCATTTTTATTGTTTAACTTGATGTACTAAAATAACTAAACCTGAAATTAAAATTCATAAAAACCATTTAGACATACTTTAAAATTAAATAGAAAATGAATATATGTGTATATGCACATACAAACACACACACACACACACACACATATATATATATATATATATATATATATATGCATAAATATATATACTAATACAAAAAATTAGTAAAAACTAGAACAATGACACGGTCAATCAAACATCCATTAATTAATAGGGTGATCAGTCACAAGCTTTTACCAAAAAATGTCTTTGTGTTGAGTGAATAAACTTACCTTCTGATTTCACACATGCTCTCAAACTGTTGATATTTTCTGGTGTTCTGGATAATTTTGTTCCCTCACAGCCTGTGGAAAAAAGATAAAAAGTGAAATATATAACATCTAACAGAGTTCCCAGGTTTCTTTTTTTTTTCTGTGGAATTGGGCTACGTTTACACAGCCACACATTTTAGTAATGGGAGTGCCTTAGTTTGAGTTTTGGTATTTGGGGTAGTTTAATTGGCCGTTGGGCAACCCTGATACCAATACACTCGTTTTAATTTGTATATTGAGCAGGGAAAGGCCAGTGAAAATGCACTTTGTCCCTGGTTCAATAGAAACTGTTTACACAAAATGTTGTCACTGTTTACACTGAAACTTTTTGTAAAATGATGTATATTCTTACCCAAATATTTCGCCCAAAAAATTTCCTGTGGGAAAATGGAAGAAATCAATAAACATAAAATACTAGATAAAAGGATTTATTCCACACTTCAAATGGCAGTAATCTTATCAAGATATACGTTGTATACTTATATATTGAATTTTTGTAAAAAAAAAAAAAAAAAAAAAAAACAGATTTAAATATTTCCATGTTTCAATTGGGGCTTAAGTGTCTACAACACAAAATGCATTTCTCACCGTTTTATCAACTCTCTCAAACACTTCTCGAGCTTCCTCATGGTCACAAATCTCTTCCACACACTCTCTCTCTAGATTTCCCGGTTTTAACTCCTCAAATCTGCCGTTAGCCCTCTTTGCCCGAATGATCTGAGAGGCTTCCTTATTGTCAATGAACACTGAAGCACAAAAGCCAAAATTCCTCAAAACATCCAGGCTCAAATACTATAATATATGTTATCTTGGAATAAATATGTTCTTAGTTTGTTATTGCCTAATTAGTCAAAAGGCAGAGAAATCTCAGTAAATTCCTACCGTTATTACACAGCGTGAGCTGGAGAACTTGTCCCAGAAGCAAGGAGAGAAGGAGAGGCGCTGGTTTAGCTCCCATTCTTGGGGATGACCGAGTCTGTAATCCTGAAAAGTCTTGGAGCATCTCATCAAATCTCTCACCCACTCAGTTAGAAAAGCCCAGAGCTGCAGTTACTGGAGTCACCAAGTTAATATTGAACTACCAGAGTTCAAAGAGAACAAAGTGTCTGAACTCTTTTCACAAAAAGAGCCTGTCTCTTCTGTATCAGATCTCTTATATCAACGTGGAACATTCTTTGATTTCTGAGGAACATATTTAATGAAAACAAGATAACTAACTCCTAAGCTATCCGAATTCAACTGAGAACATATTTTACAAATTCCAATATTTATAACAAAATGTGCTCCTCCATATTTTGTTATTTAAGAGTAGATACATCTTTGTTACTAATCGAAAAAATTAGCTTTCATCTTGAAATCATGACCCTCTTTATGTAGCTGAAGAGCTCCATTAGCTCTTATCTACTGGGTATCTACTGCTTATAGTTTCCTCTAATAATAATCATTATGTTTTTATATAAAAAGTACATACACAGTATTTTACTTTAACATTTGACATGTAAAAGATGTGATAATTTGCAACATAAAAGATATATATAATTGAATTTCCTCTTGTATTAGCTCATTTCCCAACACAGCTGTGTTTTGCTGATAAACTTGTACAATGTCTGTATAAACAGTGATGAAACAAGGTCCACTCTGCAGAGGAGTCAATATTTACTGATACAAACGGCAAACCCATCAAAGAATCAAAGAACAGCAAGACATAAATTCAACATAGCTTATACATTTATTTCACAATGGTTGTTGTTTCTTTAGTGTGAGACATCACATAATGTGAAGAGTTTATGTTTGAAAACGAAACACTTTAGTGTCACAGCCCCGTCTCTATTTCTACAGTCTCTGCCACAGAACTTAGACCATCTTGACCTTGTAATATGACCAAGCAACTATTAGCATCCTGTTCTGGAACTACAATACAGTCACTACTGGCATCATTTTCCGGCACAACTATGCATTCAGCATTAGCTTCCTGTTCCTGAATCTCTATACAGTCAGAAGGCTGTTCTTGCACAACTATACACTTGGTATTCTCATTGGAGACAATGATCTCAATGATATTCTCACTGAGCTCAATACGTTCAACCTCCTTCTCCTCTCCTTTTTCCAAAACAATTGTGCCATGGTGGTATGCACCAGAGCCCAAAATGGCCCCTTCTGGGTGAGACACCATAGTGAAGTCCTCTGAGGCTTGAACGTACGCAACCATCGGTCCCTCTTCCAAAGTGCTGCAGTCAGTCCTACCTGGCTCACCCTCTGCTTTCTGGTCTGCCCTTTTGGGTCGACCTCGTGTCGGCAATGCGTGACCAGAGTCCGGGTGATGTTTGTGCGACTGCAGATGCCGCTGTAGACTCTGCATCATTGTGTATTTGGCTCCGCACACCTGGCAAACATGTGGCTTCTCTTCCAGGTGAGACTTTAGGTGGCGCCGGAGTTTGGTTGCCATCGTGTACCCTTTCCCACACTGTTCACATTTATAGGGCCTGTCTCCTGTGTGCAGTCGTTCATGGGCCCGCAACGTGTGAGGGTCCCGTAAAGCCTTACCACAGACAGGACACAGATACACCTCACCCGTGTGCGAAATCAGGTGCCGGCGCAGCTCGGGAACTTGAGAAAAGCACATTTCGCAGTGGTCGCACTTGTAGGGTCTCTCTCCGGTGTGGATGCGCATGTGTCCCAGCAGATTGCCACGTTGGCGAAAGCTCTTGTCACAGTGCTGGCAGATGTACGGCCGCTCTCCCGTGTGCAGACGCATGTGGTTTCTCAAAGAGCCAGAATTGGCGAGTTCTTTACTGCACTCTGGACACTTGACCTTGGGAGCCTGGTAGTCTGGCTCTTTTGTCCGATGGACTTCTCTGTGGATGCGTAGCGAGGGCCGGCGAGCAAAAGCTTTTCCACAGATGTCACAGATGAATGGTTTCTCGCCTGAGTGGAGAACCTGGTGCTCCTTGAGGTCCCGTTTTAAGCCATAGCTTTTGTCACAGTGCTGGCATTGAAACGGCCTCTGACCGCGATGCATTAGCAGGTGGGCTTGGAAGCTCTCCTGTGAACTGTATGGTTTACCACACTCTGTGCACATGTACGGCTTTTGATTTTGATGTGTGAATTTGTGTTTCTTGAGATGGCACAGCTGAAAGAAGCTCTTGTCACACTCGTGACATTTGTACTTCCTCTCTCGGATAATAAAGTGAGGAAAATCCTGCTCATTTTGGTCAATGCTGGAATCCTCATTATTATACAACGTCTGCATTGTGCCGTCTTTGTTATTCAAGAGCTTTTTCTTGCTGCTTAGGTCTGACCTGTTCATTGGATTTTGTCGTTTGCAGGTACGGTTGGCTGACGAGTGCACTTTTCGGGGTTTAGCGGCAAGGCGAGAGCTGGCTCTTAGGCTTCTCTCTGGCTTCAGATGTTCTGATGAACTCTGGGCTTGTGATGTATTCACACTGACACTCTGAATCTCTTCTCTTGCATCGATCTGCTCAGCTTCACTCTCCTCGTGTGCCTCATCCACCCCATTCTGCTCCGGGACACTGGATTTACAGGCTCTAGAGTCCAGCACAAGACTTTTCGTCTTGATAGGAAGTTTTGTATTCTCTTGTGGGGCAGGATCTGTTAGAAGACAAAAGTTTCACATATTTTCAAAAGCATAACATTATATCATGGACCCCTTACACAGCACAAATATCAGGTATAAACTTACATGAACAGACAGAGCGGTGATCTAAAGTGATGGCTTCTAGAGCTTCATCTTGATCTCTGTTTGGTCTACTACTGCTTTCACAGGCTTTTACTTGCAGAATTTCTTCTTCAAAAGAGGCTTCTTGTTGATCTTCCGAGAGGAGCAGTTCTGTTCCTGGTTGAATGTCCCGACAGACCCTGAGGCCCAATCTTCCAGCCACCTCAAGTACACTGACATTGCTCTCTTCCTCACTTTGAGTGCTGCAGGCAAACCTGTGGAGGCAGTAAAACAAGTCTGATTATATAATGTATTGATATGCAAGATAGTAACTGTGCTAAATATAATAATTCATTCATTCTGGCTTAGGGCTGTTGCGATAATTTATTAATCGCCTAGTTGCGGTTATTATATATAATCGCATTTATTGAATATAATCGCAATAATTAAGCAGTTTAAATTTCTATCACATTTTGCCATAGTCAAATATTCAAACTCGTCCCTCATGCATAATGAAGGTTTGTTGGTTTAATTTCACACTGCACTTTATAATATATTTATTATATCATATTATATTATATAAATATACATTTTCACATCTTTAAAGTAAATCATGTGGGACTAATTTATTATAATGTTCATTACTATATTATGTATTATTTCAAGTAAAAAATATATATATATATACATTAATTAATATATATATATATATATATATATATATATATATATACACACACACACACATAAATGCATGAACAAAACAGTATTAATCATCAGCACAAAATGTATGATAGTGACAGGTCTATTCTGGAGAAACTTACCTCATCCAGTACATTTCCTCAGAGATTTCTCCTTTGAACACATTTTGGCATGCATTTTGCAACCCCTGGAGAATAAGAGCACATACTTACTTACTTATAGCTATTAATTATCACAGCAACATCTTATTTAGCTCTAAAAACTGCTTTTGTAGTCCCATTTGAACATAGTAATGCTAAAAACATACAAGCAATATCAGGTGAGGAGTAAATTAAGTAAATGCTGCTAATGTCTTGAAGCACATTTGCTGTAGTGGTGCTAAACAAACCATCCGGTCAGTTGTATGGTTCAAAATGAAATTTAAAAACACAGTGGTATGCATACCTCCTCTTTTTCTTTCCTGGTTATTTCGTCAGGTTCCTCCAGACCTAGCAGAGTGCCTTTCTCAAGAACTCGCCCAACACACCACAGACCCAACTGTCCATCTTCAGCCAGAGAAGGACCCAGGGTGAGCCCTCGCGGTATTGATCCCAGCACACTGTGGATGGAGTCTCTCATGTTCCCGGAGCATTTATCCCTCCAAAAGTCTGTTGCCACTAGATTAAAAATAACAAACACCGCAATAAGTCAAGACAGTACTCTCATGCTTACATTTTGAAAGCCGTAGTGACATGCAAGGGTGAATGGACAGCACTTACAAAACAAACAACTAATACTTGATAAATAATTGTTATTTGGCTGTGCATATCTTTTTTCATTATGTTAACTCTATTTTTATTTCCTTATATTGTTGTTTTTCAGACCCATAAAATATAAATATGTCTAACACTATTTTAAGGAGAGTCCCTTATAATTTACTATGGTTTTACAGTAATAAAATTAATGGCTGCAACTATTGGTGATTTTTGTACTGTGAATTGCATGGTTGGTTAGATGCCATACGAATTAATGCTCGTAATACAAGTTAATGCTTGTTGCGATTCGAATAAATGCAGTCCTTAATTTGAAATGAACAATTTTCTTTTAAAAAATGGTAAATTCAAGACTTTAGTTTTCCCCAGTTAGTAAGTCTATAAAGCAATATGCAGTATGTAATCTAGAAAGTATTATGGAGAGCAGAGCTAGCTGAGGACAAACACGTTATGGAGTAAACAGCAATTTCGTATAGATATTCAGAAAATACGTTTTGTTTGTTTTGTTTTTGCTGTGTACGTTATGTTTAAAGCGTCTTTATAGATGCAGAATGTGCTAAAACCCAGCGTTCATCGAATAGAGAACTGGTCGAATCTGCAAACATAAACATGAGATTGACAAAAAGTTTTAACCAACTCAGGACTATATTTCCTCTGCCCACTCGAGGGTCTTGTTTATCCACCCAAAAACTCCGGGAAAATTATCGTTCTCCAGCCAACGGTGCATCGACCGGAAGTCAGGTAGCTTACTGTTACAGAGAAACGGTTCCCACTAGAAACAACTACCGCTGCAGTGGAGTCGCTCTCCAAATAAAGCTAAATGTTCGTTTAGGTTTGAATGTATGTCAATATAACAATTTCTGTGCATGTTAAAAAAGATATTCATGACTGTAATTTAACATTAT